GGTAAGTCTGCTGCACCCATAGATTCAACTAAGCTCGGATGAAGAATATTCGAGAAAAAGATTCTGTCTGTCCTGAACATGTGCAGACAGTTTCCTGTTGTTACCCAGACATTACAAAGCAAGCGTTGACTTTGTAATAGGTATTGTAAGGGACCTAAAGTCCACAGGGCCCGGGCATAGGCTATGTGTGACTACTGTGTGTTTCATAGAAGGGCCTGCAACACCAGCTGGATGCTGGCACGAGTGCTGATGGTATCCAAGGGAATCTTGGAGCAATCCTGCAGATGTGCCTGTATACCCAGAAGGAGCTTTTCCATGCTCTGTCTCCCTCACACATCCCATCTTCCTCCTGAAGAGCTCTTGAAGCTCCATTCTCTCCAACTCACCTTTTGTCCCTGTCCAGGGAGGCCGGAGAGTTCAACCCGCCACACCCTCTTCCGTGTGTTCTAGATGCTCAATGGCAGTCCTGACCCAGTTCCTCCTCCCCTGCTAGGACACACCCCTATTCTTTTAATTTTCTTTGTCTTCTTTTATAGTTGAACCTAGGACCTCAAACATGCTAAGCAGCTGCTGGGCTACATCCCTTTAAATTATTTTTTACTTCAGGCCTATTAATTTTGAGGTAGAGTTACACTACCTTACCCCAGCTGGATTTGAACTCACCACAGCCCATGCAGGGCTTGCACTGGTGACCTTCCTGCCTCAGCCTCTTGAATAGCAGGATGTGTAGGCCAATGTCACTAGGCCTGGCCCTGCAGAGACCGCTGCCACCCCACCCCCTACCCTCAGCTCTTCTCCAGAGCCATCAGCTCAGACTGGGCCAAGGTCAGAGCAGCTCCCACAGGCAGGGGCTTCTGGGCTGAGCTCTAATCAAGCCTGTCATTATTTTTTGTCTACTTTGTTTCTTTTCTCCTTCCCTTTCTCCTCTCCTCCCTTCTTGCTTTCGTCTGCTGCCACAGGCAGAGAGGCCGAGACAGTATCTTTTACTCAATAGGACACCCAGCTTTCCCAACCTTAGGTCACTTCTGGCATCCGGGACAGGTCTTTTTTTTTTTTTTTTTTTTTTTTTTTTTTTTTTTTTTGTCCTTGGGATGTCCTATGCATTGTAGGATGTCTCTCATCAACCCGGCTTCTATACACTGCCAAATATTTCCTGGGTGAGGGGCACAAATCCCCCCCACAAAGGATTGCTGGTAAAGATGCTGGTGTTAGCACACAGCACCTGGTACAAGGCACGCACTTAGGAAATCCCCACAGAACAAGCCTTGTACCCAGACGGCTCTTTATCCCACGAACACCAGCTCCTTGCTTTTGAAAGAGGCTGGACCTTCAAGAAGCCAGTCTGCACAGCTGTGCTCCATGCTCATTACTGGTCATATTAAGCTAGTTTGGGGGTTTTAATTCCACCTACGTGTAGGTCTGTAACCAGCCACCTTCCCCACAGCACAAGGCCCGGCATCCCTGGGGTTTCAGTTAAGTAAATGCGGTATTGACCACCTCTCTCTCCTCCTCCTCTCCTTTAGAGATCCCTTGTGCATCTTGGGTCCCTTCTTGGCCTCCAGGCTATTTGGCCTCCAGGCCATCGACTGCATAAATAATTGACGCTGTAGAAAGTGGCTGGTGGTGTGGGGTGGTCTGCTATGCTTATACAGAGAAGGCATGCTACAAACAGAAGGTACTTGGGAAGAGGGGCTCCTTAAACAAGACCCCCACTCAGGTAAATACAGGGGTGGGGATACACCCCAGATACTGACCATCAGCTTGTAGTCTAGTCATAATAGTGCCACGGAGGCTCCATCAGGGACTCCCTGTGCAGCTATTTATTTAACTGTGTCCTGTACACTGACCACTTGAACTCCAACAAATTAAAATACTTCTCTCTTGATGTTTCTAAACTGTGCTGGATGGCTCAGCCGGTCACGGTGTCTGCTGCCCATGCCACCAAGCCTGACAACCTTAGATCCCTGGGACCCACGGGGTCGAAAGAAAGAACCAGCCAACCCCTGCACGTTTTGTGTGTGCTGCACATGTGCACACCCAAGGAACACGGCTACAGGGTGCAATTTGGAGAGACATCGTTCTGAAGAGAACCACTTATCAAGGCTGGGAAACACGCTATGAACCAAAATTTGAGAACTAGATGGGACGGAACAAGCTGCCATGGGTCCATATCAAGGTGGAGGGTCTCCAGAGCAAATATCCCTTTTAAGAATTTTCAGTGAAAGAAAACCCTATTAGGAGACTTCTCGACAACACATCCCAGGCAATTTCTCTAGTTTATAGCCAATCCCATCTTCCCTCGGGAGTGAGGAAATACTGTTTGGGAAGATGCTTCTGGAAGCTGGATCAATACCCTTCCCCCACCATCTCTCACCTATGCACCCTTTGACCCATGGTTCCCAACCAGGGGCAATTTTGGATGTCACAACTGGCAAGGGAAACAGTGGGCATCTGTTGAATAGAGACAATGTGAATAGCAGTCTCCACTAAACAGAATGATGCAGGCCAGTAAGTCCACAGTACCAAGGCTGAAGGAGGCTGGTTTTAGATATCAAAGTCAGAACTGATGAGAGTCACTGGGAAACCCACCAGGTCTTGGTTGGGCCTACCCCTCACCACCCTTGCTTAGAAGAACTTGGCTGTTTTTAAGTGTGTCCAGCCACTCTTTCTGGCGAAGCTCCTCCTTCCACGCCTAGCTGTAGATCGAGACTTGGTTTCTCAGTTCTTCTTGCTTGCTTCCTGTCTCTCCTGTCTACCCCAACTTGAAATGGATAGCATCACGATGGCGCCCACACTTCTGAAATTGTGCAGTGTTCTTGCAGTACACGGCCAGGACTGTCGTTTCTGCTTCCTTTCTGACCCAAGAAATGCCCCTTTCTCCTTCAAGGGCAGCTCTGAGTTTTGTCATAAGAGCTGCTTCTCTCATTTCTGGAAAGAGCTCCCAATTTCCTTTTGGAGAGTTACCTTCAGCCCTGGCCCCCAGCTGGGGGTCTGGTATGAGTTAAGTGGGAAGTGTCCGTGGCTGCTGGAGGTATGTTAAAGGTCAAGGGGTCTTTAGGAGGTGGGGCTTGGTGAGTGGAAGTAGGTACCTTTGATAGTTGATGGCCTGGCTTATAGATATCACAGCAGAGTCTTGGTGTATGGCCACTGCCACGCCACCCCTGCCATGATGAAGTCTCAAAAGCCACAAAGCAGAATGCTCCTTTCGTCTCTTTGTTTTGATCAGTTATTTTGTGTCAAGCAATGTATCTGTGATGGTTACTACCAGCTTGACAGACTCTAGACTCAAGTAGGAAACAAGCCCCTGGACATGACTATAAGGGATTATCTGGATTAGGTTAACTGAGGTGCGCAGACCCACACTAAAAGGAGGCCACCCTGTTCAGTAGGCTGGGGTCCTAGACTGTCTAGGGAAAAAGGGACCTGAGCAGCAGCATTCATCTCCCTCTGCTTCCCGACTGGATTCGGTGTGACCAGCTGCCTCAAGATCCTCCAGCCTTGACTACTCTGCCTTGATGGATTGGCCCCTCCAACTGTGGCCTGAGGGAAACCCTTCTCCTGTTTTCCTCAGGGTCTCTTCTCACAGCAACAGGAAAAGTAACTAAAACTGGAGCTAATGCAGCACCAGCTTAGGCTTGGCCAATCTGGACCCCTGTCCTACTCTTTGGCTGAACTGATTGGTTCACAAACAGTCACGTGGTCTGAAATAGAACAGTGAATCAGCAGGGGCGGGGGTTGTCATGAACTGGCAGGGTGTCTTCTCTTTGTGATGGAACTGGTAAATTCGAAGGTTAGAGTCTTTCCACGGGAGAGAACAGATCTCTCTCCCATGGAGAACCTGTCTGAGGGTAAGGCTGACCCAGAGCATCAGCTGGGGGATGGGCTTGAGTCCCAATCCACTGAAAGGCAGGCAGTGGGATTCACCCATGCCTGGTACCAGCAACCAATTTAACTACACAGTTTGAATGAAACTCACTTGACCTGGGTTTCCGTCACTTGCCAACAAGTTCTCAAAAACCTAGGAGGAATGAATGGCCCCTTCTTGACCCATATCTAGGCATATAGATGAAACTAAGCACAGCCAGACACAGAAGGAGAGAGTCCAGTTGTCTCAAGCTGGTCACTACTGGCTCTAATATGGGGTGTAGCCACCCAACTCCACAGAACTATGTATAGGATAAGAAGGGGCTCCGCTGAGGCCAAGGCCACTGGCTTATCCAGTCTTCCCAGGGGATCCTATTTCTGTCAATCCACAATGACAGTAACTGCTCTCAGGCTCCCTGACACACATCGTAACAGCCAAGGACCTGCCAAACGGAGCTAGATGGGCTGGTACGGGCTGTAATCCTGGCATTTGGGAGGTTGGGGCTAGAGGATCATAACCAGCCAGGGCTAGATATAGTAATTTCTAGTCCAGCCTGAGCTACCACTGGGAAACCTTAACTCAAAACCAAATAAACAGACAGAATCTACCGGACAGTCCTGGAGGCAAGCGCCGAGGCTGTCCCCATCTCACAGGAGATAATGCTGTACAGAACAGGGAGAGGAGCTGCTTGGCCAAGGTCACATGCTGCCAGGAGAGCGGAGCCTGAGGCAAACAAGTGTCTTATTGTTGCTGGGCTTTCTGTAGATCAGAACTTGTACAAGAGTCACTGGTGACTTTTGCTGGATGATTTATCTCCAAGAGGTCCCCCCTGGCCCCACTATACGCTACGCCAGTACTTTTGACCCCTGACGCTGTTGTATGGGTCGTGTGTGTGTGTGTGTGTGTGTGTGTGTGTGTAATGTTGTCCTCTCCCAAGCAGATACCCCTAGCCAGGGGTTGACTTTGGATGTCTTCCTCTAGCACTGTTCACATTTTTGGAGACGGGGCTTCTCACATAATCTGGATCTCACTGAGTCCATCTCACTAGACTGTCTGCCCAGAAAGCCTCTGGGATCCTCCTTTCTCTAGTCCCCAGCACTAGGGTTAGAGATGTGCATGGCCACAGGGATCCAAACTCAGGTCCTCGTGCTTACACTTTACCCTCTAGCCCAGTTTTCCCTCATTTATTTTTTGGGTCCATTCTTCTCCACCCACCACCACCCCAGGCCCTCATCTGTTTTGTTCTGGCCTTCAGTCGCTGAGTGAACGAAACTTGCCATACAAGCTCTAACTCTCACGTGGCCCATAAAGGTGCATGCCAGTGTTTTCTTCTAGAAAAGAGGGTCGGAGAGGCTTTCCTCAAAGTTTGATTCTTGGACTGTCCCGGCCCCGCAGGCCACACTCAGACACAGAAGTCTGGATGAGTGAGGAAACACAGAGCAGGAGCCCCAGGCAGGCGCTACCCCATCCATCTAAGGCCCCTGGTCAGGTAAGCCCCACCCTGCTCAACCGGCCACCTGCGGCCTACCACCTCCATCCTTAGGCGGAACAATACAGATTGGAGAGGTCCTGAGGCAGCAGCCTCAAGGCAGGGCTGCCTGGGATGGATGAATCCATGGCAACAAACCCATGGGGTGAGGTCAGCGGCTCCTCAAAAGAAGTAAAGGATAAATGGGAATGAATGCACAAGCCTCGGCTCACATACTAATTACCTTTGCTGCCAGCCAGGCGCTCAGAAATGTGACTCAACTCCAGTGTTCTTAAATACACTGCAAAACAACTCCCCCCCCCCCCCCCCCCCCCCGACACAAACACCATAAACACCACACATGCACACACCATACCACACACACCACACCATGCACATACCACCTCATCCCACATATTCACAACACACACACACACACACACACACACACACACACACACACACACACACACACACACACACACACTGTCTACAGAGGAGCCGGAAGCCCCCAGCAGGTGGAGAAACAGTCCCCTCCACTGTCCTGAGTGCTGGCCCTGCAGAGACTGATGAGGACTCCGTGGGACTCTGTGTGAGCAGGGTAGCAAGACTGTTCTAGCCCAAGCCTCGCCAGAGTCAGACTCCCCAGTTTCAAATCCTACCCTGGGGCTGTCCAGTACGCACATGCCGGTGGGCCCCACCCCCCAGCATTGTCCAAATCAATAAATAATAAAAGCCCTACCCCAGATCACTTGTTAGCACACGATGACTCTGAGCTACTGACTTAACTTTTCTTGCCTCAGTTTCTTCATTTGCAAAGTGAGGGTAATAACGGCGCCCACATCACCGGGTTGCGGTGAGGACTGAGATAACCATTGGAATGGTGGCATTCACCTGTAACTCCAGCATCTGAGAAGCTGAGGAAGGAGGATCTCAAGTGTGAGCTCAGTCTCAAACAAAACAGGAGGGGGAGGCCGTGGAGTGGCCAAGTGGATCAAGTGTTTGCCCAGCCAGCACGAAGACCAAAGATGCACACCACCCCCCATATGTACATACAGCCACAAGCCAGTGTGAATGCACACTCCCGTGCACACACACGGGAATATGCACTAGCATACACACATGAACATACACACAAACACACACATACATACACAAAGGATAACTCTAGGGTGTAGGGCACCAGTTAATGTAGAGAAATTTAAAAGCTTGGTAAACGTTCCACTGTGTGCAGGGGTAAATTCTTCCACGGATTTCCTAGGAGGGGCTGTTGCTATGGAGATGAAATCATGAGGGGGGCTCTCCCATCTGTTTATCTACCACTGGCTTCCAGCCTCTCCCATCATATGCCAAAGCCAACAGGTCCTGGAGGTGGTGGGAAGGAGACAGGTCTTCGGACGGGAACGGGAGCCCTGAGTGCGAGCCTCACTGTCAAGGTTGAACCAGGCCAGTGACCCTGAAACCAGCCATGGCTATTAAGTAGTCAGAGCCAAAGCTGCTGGAGACCACACACCGGGCCCTCTCCTGGGAGGTAAGATCCTTTCCCTCTGGTCTCCCCAGGGGGATGGAAAAACAAAATGTCCCAAACTGCCCTGAAACTCTTCTGACCAGCCTCCCCTCAGCCCTGTGGCTAACAGCAAGGTTCCAAAGAGATCATTCTTCCAGCTACACCAGGCACGCAGGAGAGCAGCACATGGGGGGGGGGGGACGGGGACAAAATGAGCAGGTGTGTGTGTATGGGGGGGCTCCCACCCCCAGCATTCGTCATAGCTCTGTACGCAGCTGAATACCTGCCACAGTTTACGCTCTCCTCAGACTCCAAGATCTCAACACTAGTGACATTGGTGTTACTTAACTCGGCGGTCCTTGGTCTCCTTTGTAAGGTAGAGATGGTTGTGCTGCTTGCATGAGTCCCTGTGGAAAGCCCTTGCACAGAGGAGGCAGGGGGTGCACGCTCAAGACTCCCATTGTCCTGTTGGGACCGTGAAGGCACCGAGGTCAAGCCGCCAGGCCACCGGCTTCATGGAATCTACAGACCAAGCTGGGAATCCATTTTGCCCAGCCCCTGACCCCAGGCCTTTCCACTGTACCCCAGTCCTGGCCCCAGGTCTGGCAGAAGTCCAGACTGCGGTTGGAAGCCAGTCTCTCTCCCCGGCACTTCACTGTCCCAGCCCGCTCCCCAGGAGCCAGGTGTGTTTCCTGCTTGGCCGCTTTAAACCGCCATTAAGGTTTCCTGACATTAAACTCTTTCCCAGACCCAAACTGTCTCTGCCTCCCTCTGATAGCTTTTCCAAGTTGGAGTGTCATCATTTTCATTACCCTGTGCTGACTAGACACTCTCCTCTTTGGGGCCCTCAACTTTACAGACCCTTCTTAGGTTAGTGACTTAGTACAGCAAGAACATCAGAGCCTGAGCCATGAATATGCAAAGCAGCTGCGAGCGAGCCTGTAAATAAAAGCAATCATTTAAATGCAAATTGCAGCCTAGGCTGCCTGAACCTCAGTGCTAGGATCCTTCTCTGGGTGCAGTTCTGAGGCGAGAGCGTGACTAAGTTGGAATCCCTAGCTGGCTCGATGCCGAAATGCTACAGAGGTCTTGGACCCTGGGTGGGGGCTCCCTAGCGTCGATAAGGACTGTCTAGAAGTGGGAGGTGGATTTTTAAAACCTCAAGCCACTCCTCCAATTCGCTCACAGGGCTCTCTGGGGCTCAAAGCAGTGCCCCAGGCTGGATCCATAGCGGGGACTCCCAGCACCACAGCTGCCCTACAGCGGAAGGAAAAGAGCTGCTGTCGGTCTCCTTGTGGAGGTCAAGGGAGCTTTTAAAATCACACCCCGTGGCCTCCTGCCGAGAACCCTTCAAGGATTCAGTGGCCCCCACCAGAATACATTCTAAATGTCTTTCTATGGCTCCAAAGACCAGGATCTGTCTAGCGCCTCTGGTCCCCTTTTGCCTATCCCCAAATCCGCCCCCACACACTCGCTACAATGGTCTTTGTGTCTCTTCCTCCAAGCTTATTCCCACCTCCGAGCTTCTGCAGCCTGGATGCCCTTTGCCCCCAAATCGCCCTCTAAGTGGAGCCCCCTCCTCCTTTGCTGGAGTCCACTCAAAAATGCCATTCCCCAGATGTCTCCTCACGCACCACAAGCCGGGCTCACTTTATTTTCCAGGCAGCCCTGTCCCAGCAGGTGTTGTATGAGGTCGTATTTATTTGCTCCATTAGCGTTTCTTCATCCACTTCTCTGCAGTTGCTCCCCCCCACACCCCGATCTGATCTATTCATTTTATACAAGGATTTCCGCCGCACTCGATTCTGTGTCCACTACATGTATTGAAAACAAACAAACAAACAAACAAACAAACAAGCCCAGTAAAGATTTAGAGTCTGTCTTTGTAAACAAAGCCCTTTTCTTGCTGCCCGGGCCCCAAACTGCAACTCCTTCCCCTCCCATCTTTCCCCCTTCCAACTCAGCTGGCCCTTTTCAGACGCAGAAGCGAAGGGATCAGGGAAACAATGTTCACAGTCGAGATCGAAAACTAGCCGGGAGGAGGATTTCCAACCAACAGATGCCAATTTGCATTCTATTTACATGCTATTTGCATGCAGTTTAACTCCAAGTGTGGTTATTCCCAAAGCCCCGAGAGCCCACCAAAGAAACTTAGGAAATAACATTCTGAAGTGCTGCTGTGTGTGGAGCGTGCTCAGCCTCTCCCGCATTCTCTGGTCTTTGTGGGGGACCCCCAGAGCTTTCTGGACGCTGCTCAGGTGCCCCCACCCTGGCGCAGTCGGGCGGCCGATGCGGCGCGTGTGCTGGGGCCCCAGGAGGGGACGATGGTGCCCGCCACACTCCCGGGGCCTTTGTCCCTGTTCCAAAGAGCCGCCCCCTTGGCGAACAAGAGAAGGGGGGAACTGGCTAGGCCTGGGTCTGACGGAGCAAGAACAGGGGGACGAGCCCTCTGTTCTGGGGCGTCCTCTGGGGCAAGGTCGGTGGGCCGTTCCAAAGCTGTTTAACCAGCTACCGCCCGCTATGGCGGGTTGCGGGCTCCTCGCCTGGGCTTGCCTCTCCCACCGGGTCCTCGAAATGTGCGGGGCCCTTGTGGGGCTTTGAGCCCTAGTCCACCAGAAAGAGGGGGCGCTGCACCGGGTAGTCCTTACCCTTAGCTTGGCTGCCTTCCCCAGAGGTCCAAGTGCCCTCGCCTGGGACAGAAATTCTTCCCCTTAACCGTATGCAGCCGCCCCTGGACTTCCAGCCCACTATTTGTCCCCCAGCCTTAGATTTCCTACCTGTGGTGCCCACCCTCTTGCCCCCTTTTCCAAGAGTGCGCGGCCACTGCGGGCTGCAAGCTGGGTCCCCCAGACCCTGCGGCAGGTGAGGTTGCACGTCCCCAAAGGCTAGCCCTTTCCCCAGGCCAGGTCTGCGCAGTTCATGGCCAGCACCCCTGACCTGCCTGGCCCCTGCCTGGCCCCTGGAACCTGCCTGCGACGCCCCTCACAGGGGTCACTAGCATAGGGCCGGACTCCCCTTTTACTCCTAGCTGCCTGTCGTCTGTCGTCACCCCAGATCCTAGGCTCTCTATCTGGTCCATGGACATCCTCCCCCCGCCCCCCGCCAGATAAAGGTCCCCAAACCCTTACTCTTGGTCAGCCCTCTGAGACTCCTCTACCACCGCACTGTGGCACCCCTCACCCGAACCCCACAGCTTCCCCTGCAGAATCATCCCAAGGAGGGAGAACAGAAAAATCACAAGCCTCGGATCCCCTTCCGATCTTCACAAGCCCACGGCGGGAAAAGTTTCTGGGGTCCCTGTGGCGCCCTCCCCGCTCCCGCGCTGGCTGGCACTCACCGACCCTCGCGGCCCCGCAGCGCCGACGCTCCTGCTGGCCCTGGGCCCGAGTCACATCTCTGCAACGCGCCCGCGGCCCCCGCTCCGCGCACGCCCGCCAGTCGAGCCCGCCTCACTGCATCGTCCTTTCCTGCCGCGGCAGCGCGAGGCGCCCCCTGGCCCGGCCCGCGCTGCAGCAGCCGAGGCCCCGCCCCTCCGTTAGGCCCCGCCCCAGCAGGCCCCGCCCCTGCCGGGTCTGCGGCTTGCTCAGCCCCAGGACCAGAGGCAGGCAGCGGGCAATCCCATGCGCCTGGCTTGTTCTGAGAGCTGAGACGCATTCCACCTCCAGTGTCGAAGACATCTCCTCCCTGTTAAGAGTCCAGACGCACAGTTTGCCCGGGCTGATCTGTTTGCAGAAACATCCTCAGCCACATACAACGCAATATTCCCACGGGAGTCTTAGAGGGGCACTAGCCACACATATCGGAAGAGAGCCCTGGACTCAAATTCTCAGAGACGGCACGCATTCCAAAGTCACCAAAGCCTCCGTATGATGAACCTCGGCAGGTCCCCACTGATCACATTCTCCACCTTCTTCTACCTTGCTCCAGCCCTCCCTTTTCCCTTTGCGCACACTGAACCCGGCACTCGTATCCTTCCTTCCTTGGCAATCTCAAACATGAACCTCACCACGATGACCCCCCCTCACGTGGGTCCGTGTGCACGATGATCGCCACCATCTCTCACACTTCATTCACGTAGGCACCTGTCTGTCCCTCTCCCAGGCAAACATACCCAGAGAGCCCAGACTCTGGCTGTGCGTGCACTGGACGCTCAGGGCACAGTTATGGCCGGTGCCCACAGGGCAGGCATGGGACATGCGTGGAGGAGAGGTCTAGTACGGCCCACCCGGTTGTCGGAAGTCAGCACTGCCTAGGCTAGGCTGTGGGGTACTGTGCTTCAGCACCCCATGCAGCAAGCTATCTCGAGGGTTATCATCACTCACTGGTCAAAGCCCAGTCATATAGACGCAAAGACACGACCCCTCTCCCTCTGGAATGGTAGCAGAAAAGCGGCTGCAGAATAACACTCCTCTTAGAGATTGTTGCAGCCCCTGAGTCTGGGGGATTATGAACTTTTCGGCTACTCGCATCTCTTCTCACCAGCCTCTCAAAGTCCCCCTCTATCTTCAAGTCGGTTTTCTCCGGGTCAGGCCACGTGGCTTGGCCACTCTCTCTGTGAATCTTTTTTTTTTTTTTTAAGGACACATATAAGGGGCATATTCCTAGGGGTAGAGTCCTCACCTCAAGTTTGCGGAGGTGTCCCCTTGCCAGGAACAGGGCTTAGAACACAGTAGGCGCTCATGAAATGTTTTGCAGGACAAGGTCTTCCCAAGCCTGTTCTGGTCAGATTGCGGAACTGGAACGTGGATGGGCACTGCCTCCTGGTGGTGTTTAATGGAACTGGCATCGACAGCTTCTAAACGTGGCTACGTTCGCTTCCTCTCCCTTTAGGGTTTCATCTGTAACCCCCAGACTGTTTTAACACACGCTTGCTGGTGTACACCTGGAACACATTGTAAAGTTCTTCGCATAGGTGCCCAGCTCAGTGCTGGGTGAAGAACATCTGGCTCCATGGCCCAATGGTCCAATTAGTGTCATTTACGGTGTCGGACAGCATCCCAGAGGAGCCTCAAGTCCCCAGAGAGATCGCTGGGTCTACAGCCTTGGAGAGAACAGCTCTGGGGCATTGGGACCTCCCAGGGGTGACGTCTGTCCAGGGCAGTGGTTCTCAACCTTCCTAATGCTGTGACTCCTTAATACAGTTCCTCATGTTGTGGTGACCCCCAACCATAAGATTATTTTCGTTGCTACTTCATAACTGTAATTTTGCTGCTGTTATGAATCGTAATGTAAATATCTGATGTAGGGGATATTAGATACAACATCTGTGAAAGGATCATTCCAACCTCTGAAGGGTGGCAACCCACAGTTTGAGAACCACTGGTCTAGGGAATCAGGCTCTCATATGCTCAGCCCACCTCAGGAAAATTGCACAACCCCCCAAACCAAGTAGCTTCACTGGCTCAACTTGTCATCTCGAAAATGATAAAGGCTGGGGCCTTCCCAGTGACACTCAGTTTGTGAGTGTTTGTCTATTGGTGTCTCCCACCAGCCTGGGCCTCAGTCTGCTCTCTCCAGCCCTTCAGCACTTTCCTGTGGACTACTACCACTGTGCGACTGAGCTTTCCGTTTTAATTTATTTTTATGTAACATAAGCAGCATGTGGCTAGTGGCTATAAATGCACAGTGCATCTCCCAAGCTCAAAAACATGCCTCAGGGCTTGGGAGCTGTATCTTAGTGATAGAGCACTTGCCTAGCATGCAGGAAGCCCTGGGTTTGATCCTCAGCACTGCCTAAACCAGATGTGGTGGTGTACAGATGTA